CGCTGCAAGCCTCGATTCCAAGCACATCATCATGGTCCAGGGCTTCAGAGTTGTCTGCGGATTTTAGGGTTTTGGGAGTCATACCCTAAACCCTAAACCCAAAACCCTAAACCCTAAACCCTAATGGCTTCGTCTCTACAGTGTGTTTTGGCTTGGCAGGCGGCGGCAGCGACTGCCACTGCGATCGCCACGGCAGTGATGATGTCCCGGGCTTACCGTGGATCCTCGAATCGCTCCGATGCTCTAGCTATGAGGCACGCGGTGCTGTTCATTAAGAGCCCAAAAAGCAAATAAGCATAAGCATTTTATAGGGATATCCCTACCTTATTGGGCTTCATTATAAGGGGGTTTATATGGGATATCCCTATCCTAATTTTTGCTTATGTGCTTTTTTGGGGCCCTAGTTCAGGCCTTACATGCAGGGTCTTGGACACGTTCAGTGAAGGGAAACTAATGCTCTAGGAGATGTGCGAACAGATGTTTTAATGCCCAGGTCGCAGATGATTGTGCAGGACATCGATGATGCAAGCAACTTGTGTCAAGAGGCCGGAAATTCTAGTTTCTCATTGTTGATGTCAAGCCTGGCTATTGGGGTGCATATGCCCAGCTGAGGGTTCTCTCCTCCCGAGCCTCAGCCTTTTTTGTTCGATTCAGAGCCAGGTGGGCTTTCAGCATCCAGGGCTTGTTGAACATATCTTTCCGGCTCTTATCATGGCAGTCCAAACCCTAAACCCTAAACCCTAAACCCTAAGGCCACTAGAGAGACAGAGGATGTCGATTGAAGGGATTTCTGAATCGACGATCGGCCTAGGATTCCCAAGACTCAACGGACGCTCGATCCCACGCGCTTAAGCCCCAACTTTTGCCCTAAGCCTCAAGCCTCAACCCTGAGCCCTAAACCCTAAACCCTAAACCCTAAACCCTAAACCCTAAACCCTAAACCCTAAACCCTAAAACCCTAACACCCTAAAACCCTAAACCCTAGACCCCTAAGCCCCAAACCCTAAACGACGGTCGTCTTCGGCAACTTCCGAGAGCCAACTTGCAAAATGCCTTCTGCCAAGACAGATTCCTAATGCTAGTACTCTAGCGGAAGGAAACAGGCCCTGAACAAAAAAATTAGGGTTTAGGGGTTTAGGGGTTTAGGGTATAGGGTTTCGGGCTAAACCCTAAACCCCCAAACCCTAAACCCGGACCCAAAAGCCCCGTGCGCGAGCCGCGAAAGCCCTGCGCTTCGAAGCCGTGACCTGCGCAGCGTTTAGGGTTTAGGGTTTAGGGGTTTGGTTTTAGGTCTAAATCTCATCGCCATCGGGGCATCGAGGTTCAGGCTAAACCCTAATTGGTTTAGGGTTTAAGGTTTCGGGGTTTAGGGTTTAGGGCTACACCGTCATGCCCAAACCTTATAAACCCTAAACCCTAAACCCTAAACCCTAAACCCTCAAACCCTCAACCCTAAACTTTAAGCTCGAAGGGTTGTGGCAGGCTTCACGGTTTCGGGTGGCATGACCCGGTCGGGTTGAAGCTCCGAATTGAGTGGGGTTTACGGTTTAGGGTTTAGGGTTTAGGGTCTAGGGTTTAGGAATTAGGGTTTAGGGTTTAGGGTTAAGGGTTAAGGGTTTAGGGATAAGGGTTTAGGGTTTAGGGTTTAGGGTTTAGGGTTGAGAGTTCGGGATTTAGGGTTCAGGGTTTAGGGTGTATAGGGAAAGTGGATGTCGTTACCTCAAAAACGGGAACTGAGTTTTCATACTGGTATGTTTCGGTAACCATGGTTCTTTTGATAGTTCCTGAATTATGAGTTTGGGCTTTTGGGGTTCAGGTGTAGGCGCATTAAAGCCATAGTGGTGTTTTAGAAAACAGTGTTTTACTCAAGAAGCTTCACCACCTTGAAGTACCTCTGCATCGCTACAGGTCCAAGCCTGTGAAAGAGAGATTTCTCGGTTCAAGGCTTCTCAGAGGCCGTAAGATCTCGATAGATGGCGTCTCCAACTTCACCCCTAAACCCCAAACCCTAAACCCTAAACCCTACACCCTAAACCCTACACCCTAAACCCTACACCCTACACCCTAAACCCTGAAGCCTACTTCACCAAGATCTAAAGATACAGTAGTGCGCCGAAAGAATTACCAATATTTATTCCTGAGGGTTCCCGATCATAAGACTATAATTCTAGCATTAAGGAGCCCAGCATCTCATAGCGTTCCCTATCATACTACCATAGTTCTAGCATTCAGGAGCGCAACACCTTCTACATAATACTACAATTCTAGCATTAAGGAGCCCAACACCTTGTTCATAATACCTTAGTTCCATCATTCAGGAGCCCAACATCTTATTCATAATACTATAATTCTATCACTCAGGAGCCCAACATCTTATTCATAATATGACGGCCCCTGCATTAGCGGAGCCTTGATCTGCCCGCAACCCCGAAGCCCTCCACTCGGAAGAGGGGCGGCCCCGTGAGAGCCAGTTTAGGGTTTAGGGTTTA